CCATTGTTTTTGTAGCTGCCTGCAGAAAATCACTTTATCCACACCAGAGTACTCTACTTGATTGCACCATACATTTCATCTTAGTTTCTTTTCTATTGATAGGACAAAGCAGTTTGACCAAGCAACTTATACTAGAAAGGTATTAATTGGCTTATATTTTCAGGTACTTAGAGTCCGTGAAGGCAGAGCAGAGCCATGTGTTGTACTCTGAATGAGAAGGACCCCCATATGCTTTTATGGTTGAATACTTGGGCTACACTTCGGGAATTGTTTGGGAAGGATTAGGAGGTGTGGCCGTGTTCAAGGAGGACTGTCATTGAGGGTGGGTTTAAAGGTATCAACAGCCTACTTCATTATCATTTAGCATTCACTCTCCTTCTCTCCCACTCTCTTTCCCCTTCTCTCTACTCTACCACCTCCACCTCCCCCGTCCTCTTCCTGATGCTTGTGGATCAAATACAAGATTTCTATTTCTTCCAGACCCCTTTCTTCCCATGTAGCTTGCTGTGGGAATGTAGCTCACATGTGGGCGTGGGTTCTGTTGGGCTGAGTTGTGGGTCCCATGTGTCTGCCACCCCAGGTGGCTGGAACCGAGGGTCAGAGGGCAGAAGCATGGGAATTCAACTGAGTTCACTCCACCTGGCACTGGGTGGATGCTGGGCTACGGGAAGCCATAGAGCTCCACTCTAGGCATGGAGAGATCCCAGTCTGAGGTCCCTCTGTGCCAGAGCTCTTGGCTTGGGGACCCCCTGGGCAAGAAGACAGGTGGGGACAACTGGTCTCAGACCCTTAAGTTCCCAGGTGCTGCTGAGAGGGCGCAGAAAAGTTGAGACTGGGGATGTACGGGCTGGATCAGCTGGCAGCTGAAAGGAGCAAGGGGGAGAATCTCCGGTAACGAAGCCCACTCAGTCAGTCAACCGGTTCTCCAGCACAGGAGTGAGGATTAAAAGAGATGATTAGACAAAATTGTAGCGTGACCCCAGCCAGTTCTGAGGCTGAAGATAGGTTTGTTTAATACAACATTTCTTTTAAACCCTTTTAATTACATGCAAGTATTTAGGTCAGTTCTAGGTTGAGGAATCAACAATATAATAGAAACAAACAGTCAAGGAACAAACAAGGCAATATAGAGTCCCATGATCACCCTGTGATCACTCTTGCTGTTTCTACAGGCTCATCTGGATGACAAAGTATCTGAGCCTACTACCCCGTCCTAGCCCACAGTCATATTCAAGCCTGAGGCCTACTTCTTCGTTTTAGCCTAAGACTTGGATTCCTGACTGGAATTACTTCTCTGTTTTAGCCTAAAAATAGACTCCTGCCTGAACTTACTTCCTTGTCATGGTTCAAAGTCAGATTCCTGCCTAAAGCCCATTTCCTTGCCCTTGACCAATGTCAGGTTCCTGCCAAGCAGCCCCAAAGGCTCTCCACACTCTGGGGATGCCCTTCTGGGTAGATTAGACTCGCTTGGCTGTGTCATAGCTGACTCAGCTAGCTCTGCTTGGGTTGGCAGCCTCCCCATGGCTGGAATGTAGAGAAGTCCTCCTGTGGGAGATTAGGCAGTAACTCATTAGTTAAAGACCTTCTCCATAGTCCCCCACGGTGGGCCCCAAAGACAAGAGGAAGTCCATGATCTTAAAACATTTATTGTCATGGCAGAAAATAAATGAAGCCATACCCTGTGTTCTCAGGGAGGGCCTGAGATTAAATACCTTTTGCAAGTAGAAGAAGGATCTGGGAAGGAATGCTTCATTGGCTATGCCCTCTGGCCTTTAGGTATCTCATGAATAAGGAGATCTCTTGAGGCTCTAAGGCCTGTACTCATGCCTTCTACCTGTGTTGCATGGCTGAAGACCACAAAACTTTCTTTGGGAGGGGCTGTGAATGGCTGATGTAAGTAAAAGGAACCAGGGCCCAGGAGCAAGGCCAAACACCTACTATTCTTTTAGGGTCTCTGGAATTCAAGGCCTGTGCTTGACCAGGTACCCAGCTGCCTCTCACAGCACACCACCCCACAGTTTGCCATGTTCTCCATCTGGATCTGTGAGTCTGCAAGTTAAATGCTTTCATTTATAAGTTGTCTTGGTCATGATGTCTCTTCTCAGCAATCAAAAATTAACTAGGACAGCATAATAAGAACATTGGAGAGCTCACATGCTGGTCCACAAGTAGGAGACAAAAAAGACACACTGAATTACAAGATTCTTAAAGCATTTCAACAGAAACATGCCTGTCCCAAGGGAGCCACATCTCCTAATACATTCCAGATAGATGCACCAGTGAGGGGCATATGCATAAATTGTGTATGAGATGTGCAGGGTATTCTCATTCAAACCACCACATTTTGCTCCATAACACCCATGTTCTTGTTAGGAATTCATAATGTTATTTTTGCTTTGAGTTTTTAAAATTCCATGTATTATATAACACATCCTGAACACAATCTCCCCTCCTCCCAGTTAATACCACTGACATCCCCCCTCCAACAAATCCACTGCTCTTCCAGTTACCTTCAGAAAACAACAGAGTTGTCCATTGAAAATGCCATGACAAGATGCTATGAGATCAGGCGTACGCCCTCACTTCAAGTCAGGACAAGACAACCAGAAGGAAAAGATCAGTCCCACAAGCATGCAAAAGAGTCAATCAAAATCTGCTTTCACTATTAGGAATCCCATTTAAGCCCAGTGGTGGTGGCGCACGCCTTTAATCCCAGCACTTGGGAGGCAGAAGCAGGCGGATTTCTGAGTTCCAGGCCAGTCTGGTCTACAGAGTGAGTTCCAGGACAGCCAGGGCTATACAGAGAAACCCTGTCTCGAAAAAACAAAAAAAAAGAAAAAGAAAAAAGAAAAGGAATCCCATTTAAAAGACCACATTGGATGGATCCTGTTTTCATGTTCATTCTTTTAGCCTGTGGCTTTTTATTGGGGAATAGAGTTCATTAATACTGATAGATGTTAATAACCAGTGACTGTTAATTCCTGCTATTTTGAGTGGTGGTAGGAGGGTGTGTGTGTGTGTGTGTGTGTGTGTGTCCCTTCTTTTGTTTTTGCTGGTGTGAAATTATATATTGTTTGTGTACTCATGGGTGCAGTTAATCTCCTTGAGTTGAAGTTTTCTTTCTAGTACTTTCTATAGTGATGGATTTATGGAGAGATTGTCTTCAAATTTGACTTTGTCATGAAATATCTTGTTTTCTCCATGAACAGTGATTGGCAGTTATGCTGGGCTGACATCTGTGGTCTCCTAGAGTCTGTAAGACATATGTCTAGGCCCTTCTGGCTTTTAGAATCTCCATTGAAATTAGTCATTTATTGTGTTTTCTTGAGTGCAGTTAGCCCCATTCGGTTGAAGTTTTCCTTCTAGAATCCTCTGTAGGGCTGGGTTGGTGGAAAGCTATTGTTTAAATTATATTTTGTCATGGAATATCTTGGTCTTCTCATGTATGGTGATTGAAACTTTTACTGGCTGATGTCT